ATTATATGTTGTAGTTTATATTGATTTTTTGCTTAATAGTTAAGACTTAATTGTATATTTGAATAGACGCTTATTTCTATTATTTATTTTTATCTAATGACCCTAAAATGTGTAAATGACGGGATATGTAGAGAAAACTAGATATGAACCAGATACGTGCACCTTAAAGAGATCTGAACTCCAGTATGAAATGAGATTTAAAACACCTAATGCTTGGAGAGCGCAACGCTTTCACGCGTGAAAAAAATCCGAGCATCTTTTCGGATTGTACACAGATGACTTATGACAAGGCTAAATTACTGGTTTTATCAATTTTACAGGTGGTTTTTTTTGTGACAGATATAAATATCATCCCTTTCTCCTGTCCACTTGTAACTATAAAAATCCCATTAAGTGATGCCCTCGTTTAAATAGCCCTAATCCTAAATAACGCCAGAAGACATACATCTAACAGATTTTTAGTAGACAACTATTAATTAATCACAGAACTTTGATAACAAAATCAAGACAGTCCCTAGTCAGGACTTGAGAAGAATTGATGTTAATCGAAAACTAAGATATTAGCTTTCCGTATCATAGATGAACACTTTTAGAAATATGACTATGATAATCGATAAAACGATTGTGTTTTCTCCAATGTGGTAATGTGATTATCGGGAAAACGATTGGCTAGTGTTTTGTTTTCTAATGTGGAAATGTGATTATCGGAAAAACGATTTGCTAGTGTTTTCTCCAATGTGGAAATGTGATTATTGGGAAAACGGTTGGCCAGTGTTTTCTCCAGTATGGAAATGTGATTATCGAGAAAACGATTAGCTATAGTGTGTTCTCCAATGTATACATAAATTGTAGCTGTGTGTTGCTAAGTGTGTGATGACTAATGAAGCCATTGACTAGTATATATAGCTGTGTGTTGGTCAATAAAACCATTGATTGGTATATGCTTTATTTACCAGCATTTTCGTTAAACATCATGGAAGAAAAACTAGTTCCATGAAATAACATGTATACCATGATCAAACAAAACTTGCTACAAATACCTTCAAATTTTGCAGTAAGTCCATGGTTAAAGTAATGCTGAAAAAGAAAAATAAACACCACTGATAAAATGATAGGCAAGAATGCTATATGTTTCATATATCTTGTGTTAATGTAGATAAAGTGTACATAGATAAACTCATCGTAGATACATTGTACCAGGATTAAGATTGTGTACGCCAGATGCGCGTTTCGTCGACAAAAGACTCATCAGTGACGCTTGAATCAAAAAAGTTAAAAAAGCCAAACTAAGTAACAATTTGAAGAGTATTGAGGACCCAAAATTCTGAAAGGTTTTGCCAAATACAGCTAAAGTTAGAAAATCCTTAGCATTTCGAAAAAAATCAAAATTTTGTAAACAGTTAATTTATAATTATGACCATATCAATGATGTTTTGTGTCAACACAGACGTGCTGACTCTTGGGCTGTTTATATCCTCGGGGATGAAACCTTCACCAGCAGAGGCATCGACACAGTGGTAATCAATAAACTCATCATAGAAACCAGGATTAAAACTGTGTACGCTCGACGCAATTTTTGTCTACAAAAGACTCATCAGTGACGATCGAATCAAAACGTTTAAAATATCACTGAGACAGAATTTTTTTTAAATAAAATTATACAAATGTACATGTTATCAATTGATAAAACCGTTGTATAATACTTTATTGTTCTCTGTCCATTAAGTGTAACACCTACTCTGATGCTACTCATACCTCTGAATAGTGCCTAATCTCACTCCTTATATAGAAATAAAACTTCGTAAGAGTGGGATCAACTGCACTATCAATGCATTAAAATGCAAATAAAATGTAGGTGTTTTACAATATACTAACAGTCAAACTTGAAAAGTAATTTTCGCAAGTTTTAATTAGATTTGCTGTATCTACATTTAGTTATAAATATGAAATAAGGAGATGTGGTATTATAGCCAATGAGAATGAGACAACTATCCAACAGAGTACAAATAACGTGTATTTAAGCACATATAGGTAACCGTACGGCCTTCAACCATGATCAAAACCATTACCGTATTGTTGACTATAGAAGGCCCCTTACATGACAAAATTCTGTAACAATTTAATAAAAAAAAAAAAAAAAAAACACAACCTGATTTTTGACAAAATAATGAACGGAAATCAAATTTAATAGACCGTAAACATTAACAGCCACTTGAAACAATACAATACATGTCTCAAGATGAATATATTTATAAATTATGAACATTTAAATTATCTTAATTGCAATATTAGAATTAATGACAAATCTGTAGGGCTTTATTATATGCTATATATATATAAATGTATAACTAATGATTTATTCAGCTGTCTTGAGCATATTATTCACATTCGGAAAATTTTTAAATTATGTGTTTTAAGTCCATCATAGTAAACAACATTATCCTGTCCTTTTTGATTTGATGATGATGATGATGATGATTGATGAATGGCTGCTTAACGTACAGCGGCAAATTAATATGCATATTCAGGACGAGAACATGTAATGTAAAAGAATATTTACCCTGCTTTGTACTAGACTGCCACGCTGAGCTGGATTTTTAACGTGCTAGCTCACAAGGTAACAGTCCACAAGAAGACATGTCACCTCACCCAGACACATTATTCTGACTGCGAGCCCACCAGTCTTTGCTCTGACTCCGTAATGCCGCGTGCTTGGCGGAGAAGCAGCAAATACCAATTTTAAAGTCTTTGGTTCGAACCCACGACCTCCCGCACTCGAGCCGAACACGCTACCACGAGACCACCGAGGCGATCTATTTGATTTGAGAAAAACAACCTATAAATTTCAGATAGAGTGATTCTTCTTGTGAGTGTAGTCACCATAGAAAAGAGATGTATAATAGATGATATTGACCATCAACTCATTTAAGTGGTTTTAAACTAAACGAATCACAATATTGAATAAGTGTTATTTTCAGTGCATGTAAAACAAAACCCACGTCTCACTTTTTTTATCTTTCTCTTTGGCAATATAAACCAGTAGTGATATCAGCTAAGATCTCCTAAAAAATGCATCATGTACTACCAACATGTTCTAATTATAAAAAAATAAAAGATTACGAAACAGTGTAATAATCTTGCTTATCTTTGTCTATGCATATATAAATTGACAAATTGCGTGAACAAATAAATGTGAGAGGATATGAGACTGAAATCAAGGACAAATTGAAACTGGTCAATGACAACAATGTTTATTGTTTTCAAGGCAATACTATTATCACCATTCAATTAACAACTGTTAATATGTGGAAATGGTTTTGAATTGCATATTATGCTAATTCTTCACTATTTACAATGTTTCCTCTTCCTGAAAGAATTATATATATAATTGGAAAACAGAATGTAAATTGCTAGGTAGGATATGCTGACTCGTTTTAGGCTACTGATAAATATATATAATTATTGTAGAAACTTAATTTCTTGTTAAAATATAAATAAGATGATGTGGTATGAGTGGCAATTAGACAACTATTCATCCAAGTCACAATGTTTAAAAAGTAAACAATTATAGGTCAAAGTACGGCCTTCAACACGGAGCATTGGCTCACACCGAACAGCAAGCTATAAATGGCCCACAAAAGACTAGTGTAAAGTGTAAAACAATTCAAACAGTAAAACCAACGGTCTAATCTATATAAAAAACGAGAAACGAGAAACACTTCTGAACCACATCAACAAACGGCAACCACTGAACAACAGGCTCGAGATCCTGACTTAAGACAGGTGCATACAAATGCATGAATTTGGATTCAACAGTTTGTTTAAACATTAAGATCCCTTTTTGATCAAACAATGTAGTTTACCTGGTATTTTGGTCTTTCGTTTTTAAACGAGTTATGATCAATAATATAATTTCTTGACACCAGAGTTTTTTCCTTTTTTTCAAATCTGTTTCTTAGGTTCTACCAACAGTATGATGTAATTCTATACACTCGAGCAAGTAGCAATGCGTAAGAATGGTTCAAAACCATAGTTTGGATATGTGTTGGCAATTTGTGGAGTATAACCCACTCCCTTCCCCCCACACAGCAAACAAAAATAAAATAATAGAGACTTTCTTAACTAAAATCAACATTATCCGAAAGTGTAGTTACGTATTTTCTTTCTTAAACAAATTAACTTGTGCAAAATATATTATATAAATTATAATTAAAATTTGCAACAATATATCAAAGTTGTCTTCAACAGCTGAAAAAAAACGTTATTTTTGTACATTATCACCAGTCTACATGTAAAATGGAAGATACATTTTTTTTACAGTCTTTTTAAATTTTGGGGTCCGTGGTGTCAGAGTGGTCTAAGTAGTTCAACTACTGTATCACTAGCCTCCCAACGCTGAGATTATGAGTTCGAATAGCGCACGTGGCAGGTGCGCTCGACTCCAGCCTTGATGCTTGTTAGTTTTCCTGCAGAAGAACGATGGTTCTCCTCGGGTGCTTCGGCTTCCTCCACCAATAAAAACTGACAGCTACGAAAAGCGATAGAGCTAAAAGTGTTGTCAAACACCAATCAATCAATCATATTCAAATTCCTGTAAGTTTCAACAATTTTCTGACTTTGACACTCTGAATGTAACAAGTACTAGGGAAATTGACCGTAATAGTCTGATCGTTCCTAACAAGGGTTGTACCGGAAGAACGAATTCGATATTTATTGACAATATTTTAATTACACTAATCTAAAAGAGCTTAAGCAATGGAACCAATCGAAAACCAATTCTGTGTTAATTGAATTACAGATTGTTTACTATCAATTGGTATTAACTGTCATTTTGTTCGTTTTTTAAAATAAATTACTTGTGCCATAACTTAACCATAGTGTAAGATTAAACATTATTATATATCCGATACACAAATATTTTTTATAGGATAAGGTATTTTTATCAACATTGGATACGGTTATGAGATGAGATCTTTAACACCTTCATAAAAGAAGGCAAACGAGAGGTTGGTATTGATTTAAACACATGGAGCAGCAATACTACAGATCATTCATTCACAACACTCGATGATAATGTGTCTCGTTTTAGTTGTGATTGGAATATAGATAAGAACATCACACACTGATGTAACCAGGTAAGTCTATGTTGTCCCTTTTGTAGGTGAAATAATTTCGCTTTTTCATTCAAAAATTATTTCGTAGAGATGCAGAATTAAAATTTTTATAGTTGGAGAATAATTCTGCTAAGTTTTAAAAATTTGGTTAATTGTTCATTCAAATTATTTATTTTATTATTTTTTGCTACATCTGTCACATCTATTATTTATAATTCATTTGCATTTGATTATCACAACTTATGATATCGAGGAAAATTCATTAATTTAGGATACGCTAAAGCCCTGATGATTTTTTAAGCAAACACTGATATTTATCAAGCTTATATTGATATAGATACAGATAAAATTTAGTTTTGAATTGCGATCAAAATTTATCGTATCATCTGAAGAAGACAATAAATTGTGATTTTTTTTAAATTCAATCCAGCGGACCTTTTTATACCACCAAATGTTCGTTCCTCTGATTCAAAATAACAAGCCTTTTGAAAGACTGTTATAAATTGATAGTATGTAAATAACGGAACTTAAAAGGTAGGAAAAAATGACACGTCTGCGTCTTTGTTTTTGAGATATGATCAATTGAAAATTTAGCGGGAAACGATTCTCTCTAGATTTTTCATACATTTAACATTGACCACCTTTTTTCTTTCAAAAACTATGAAAGTGGAAATACAAATATCATATCAGGTGATGTACACGGCAAAAAAATCTAAAGGTTATAGTAAAACTTAACAAGACACTTCAAAGGGAATAACATCCTTATTGCTGTTCCTCATCATCCAAGTTGTTAGTTCTCTATTTTTATTCAATTGTAGCTTTGAAATAAACATAAATATTTTGTATATTGCGCTGCATTTCAAAATTATTTCTATATGGATAATGACATTAAACTAAATAAGATACTGTACTTCAAGGTAAATCAGCCTGATCATTGTTGGAGAAAGATCATAATTTAAACACAATTACTTAAGTTCTGACTTGAAAAAAGACATTTTGGAAATTAAAACGTTAGATTAATCAAGTTTATTGGGGCGTCATCGACTCCCCCCCTCTCCAAAACAAAAGAAATAGTCTAATAATAAAAAATCAAGTTGCATTTTAAAATTATCAACACAAAATTAGAAAAAAATGAAGAACACCACATGTATGACTTTCAATAAGTTCAATGTTAAGCAAGGTTTATAAACAAAAAAGCAATGTACCTATATCTCTTTTCATTCATAACAGTCTTCATATCTCCAAAGTGTCAGAACCACACGACAAGCACAATAAAACAACCGACATTAACAAAGTGTCAGAACCACACGACAAGCACAATAAAACAACCGACGTTAACAAAGTGTCAGAACCACACGACAAGCACAATAAAACAACCGACGTTAACAAAGTGTCAGAACCACACGACAAGCACAATAAAACAACCGACATTAACAAAGTGTCAGAACCACACGACAAGCACAATAAAACAACCGACGTTAACAAAGTGTCAGAACCACACGACAAGCACAATAAAACAACCGACATTAACAAAGTGTCAGAACCACACGACAAGCACAATAAAACAACCGACATTAACAAAGTGTCAGAACCACACGACAAGCACAATAAAAAAACCGATATTAACAAAGTGTCAGAACCACACGACAAGCACAATAAAAAAAACCGACATTAACAAAATTTTAAATGGAAAAAGAAACAAAAGCACACACAAAAATTGAAACGTAAAGACAGCAAATATAAACAGGCTCTTTAAAAGCAAAAGTAGCAACTGAGGTTAAACCTTATTCGTTAGAAGTATTATATATAATGTCCCCCTGTTATCTCGATGGTTTAAAGATAAAATGGTACAGTGAAAAAAAAACATTGAAACTTGCTCCGTTTAAATAGGATAAAATTTTAAGACAAAATTCTTTTCAATTTAGAAGAATGTTAATAATTAAAGGATGTGTATTCCATAGCATACATAAATGGACACAACAAAATTTGCATGACCTATCTCAACCAATCGTGGCATGGATGTTAATCGAACATCTATTATAAATTTCCTCATTTTTTTTACAAGCGAATTAAGCGAAAAACCACCGGATGCGTTGCTTAAATATAATATTATGAATGCCTCAAATATTACAATAAGACATTTCTTGAACTGCATAAGCAAAGTTTCAAATGTCGTCAGTTTTTCATTACTGTTGATTTTTCAAGTTTGTCTATTGAGAATTGTATACAAGTGTCTGGTGATTTGAATTTTTTCTTTTGAACTAATTCACAATTTTTCTTTACTCTAGTCGAATACAATTTGATAGATATTATGGACGCGTTAATGGTAATGTCTGAATGTTGTTTTCCTGGTCATTTTGTGTTATTGGGTTGCTTTTTCATTGACTTATATTCCAGATATGATTTCAATTCCGTTAGAGATCATGTACGTTAAATCATCAAATGTAGCTTTTATAATAATTGACCAGTTTGGTGGACTCGTAATATCGGTTTCTTTTCAATCCTTGCTGGGTCAAACCAAATTCTCTAGAATTGCGTGGTATGTGGTACCTTTTGCAAAATTCACGACATTTAAGAGTAAATGCAAACACTGGTCAGTTCGAATTTAACAAAATCAGTTGACATACTTTCCAGTGGACTTTTACATTGTGAACTAGCACGTTGACAAATACCACTAACTATGTCAGTTCCGTACAATCAAGGGTATTTTCATAGTACAGTTTCATGTTATCGTTGGGAATATACATGTGCTGGAAATCCACGAATCAATTTAATAATCAAAAAATTCTGTGCAAGTGAATATAGCACTAGAAATGTCGGTTAGCAACATAGGCTTCATTGAGCCTCTAGTTTAATTATATCATGATATCATTACATACACATGAAAGAGTGAAGTATTGGCATTCCTTTAATATGTAATATCCAGCCAAACGTGATGGTTAGTTTTTCTGATATAATTATCATCTACAGCTGAAGCATTAACAAGATTTGTCACGAATTATAAAAGCTATAAACACTAAGTGTTTTGAACTCAGTAAAATTGAATATTTTTCATTATAATGAGCATAATAAATAAGGCGAGGACAATAAAGTAGTAATTAAACCTGGCTACACCTGTATTGATTCATTGGGAATATTATATTTGAACTATATTTCTAATATATACAAAACTATCGATAGGAAAAAGCCAATCCACCATTTTCTACACAAGAAAATGCCTGTACCAAGTCAGGAATATGACAGTTGTTATCCATTCGTTTGATGTGTTTGAGCTTTTGATTTTGCCATTTGATTAGGGACTTTCCTCGGAGTTCAGTATTTTTGTGATTTAACTTTTTATACATTCAAGGAATGGATGGGCAGATTGCTGTTTAATATCCATTGGCAAATATTCAATATAGAAATAGGAGGATGTGATATGATTGCCAATGAGACAACTCTCCATGCACCAGAGACCAATTGACATAGAAGTTACCAACTATAAGTCACTGTACGGCCTTCAACAATAAGCAAAACCCATACCACATAGTCAACTATAAAAGGCCCCGAAATGACAAATGTAAAACCATTAAAACGAGAATACTAACGGCCTGATGTATGTACAAAATAATGAACGAAAAACAAATGTATGATATACAGCAACAAACGACGACCACTGAATTACAGGCTTCTGAATTGGGACAGTCACATACAGAATATGGTGGGGTTAAATATGTTTATGGGCGCCCAGCCCTCCCCTAACCTAGGACAGTGGTGTAACAGCACAGCATATGAACAAATTATAAAATTCAGTTGAAAAGGACTAAACTCATCAGATCGATACAAAGAAGAAAAACAAGTAACAAAAACATAGACCGGATGTGGCAGGTTATTTATACATCCCCACAACAAAAAAGACACTAAGTACACAACAAAAAAAGACACTAAGTACAGATCTAAAAGTACTCGCAGTTACTGACAGCTAGTTCAAAGCCAATAACAACTAATAAAAAAATCATTTATATAAGACTAAAGTATCAATCAGTACACATCCAATATCCAATGGATTTAGTGTAAAGACGTCATTAACAATCAGAGAAAAACATGACTTTGTTCAATGCCAAAATACAGCTATCGACAGATTGTAGAACCGTGAATGTGCATATGTATAACAATAATATTAGTTTGGTTTTAATTTACTGATACAAAAAAACCCAATATTTAAAGATCTAAGCATATTGAGAACGACAACATTTTAATGTAATATGAATCCTGACAGGCTGAGCAGGATTTTTGAATCGCTGGCTCACAGGGTACCAGCACGAAGGAAAACATATCATTATACTTGAACAAATTAGTTTGAGTCTCTGTCGTTCCCATTACTCTAAAATGCTTCACACTTAGCAGAGACGCAGCAATTTCAATATTCAAGTCTGTTTCATTCACCTGTGATCAAAACCCATGACCTCCCACACTCGAGGAAAATACGCTACCACGAGACCGCCTCGGTGGTCATAGAATGGACAAGAACAAAAGTGTCTATGCTGCAACGTTGAAATGAAAATAAATTGGCGAAAAATAAGTAAGATAATACAAGATTGAGACAACCAAGTAAACCACCAAACTGTTACTTAACAAACCACAAAATATGTGCACATGAAAACAAAGACACTCCGTGCATATTGTCCTTTACACAATATGAATCTATTTTGTGTATCTTTTTCCAGCAGTGACAAATCAAAAGCTAACACCTTTAATTTAAAAAAAAAATACATAAGATATTAATATTTAATTATTATCTTAAAGCTTAGTGCTAGTGTATTAGTTTTCGAAAAGATAATATTTAATTCCCCATTAGTTGGTAAAAATACCAATTTTTAACCTATAGAGAAAAAAAATTGCAAGAACGACCAAAGTATAGGAAGTCCAAATTTATGACTAATATATTTATAAAATTATTTGCAAGTGTAAAAATCAAGATCTAATAATTTTTTTTTGATTTAAGACGTAAACACTATAAAAAGAGCCTCGCTGGAGAAATA